GGCCCTCTTTTCTTCATCGATTAGGGGAGGGCTTCTCAGAAACCACAGCAACCGACCACACAAGACACGACTGGAGGCATAGAAACCTCCAAGGGGAGAGGGCGATCACTCCTTTTCAGCCCTTTCCCTTATCTCCAGTTGAATGCAGGAAAATCAAGAGAACCCTAGATTGGGTGCGCAGAGAATAGAAATCTAGGCAGACAGAAATCTAGGCGGATTTGAGTAGCTCTGATACCATGTTATGATTCGGCCTGCATTGGAGTTCTATTTGTCTGAGATCAGTCACGTAGAGAGAGGTAGCGAGGTGGAAGAGAGAGAGAGAGAGAGAGAAAAGGAAAGTCTTGTTCGAACTGGAAGTCAAAAAACCTAACTCCTATTCGGCCAGACATGTGCTTTTATTATTAAAATAAATGGAAAAGACATATGTGCCCTTATTTAAGTAAGGAGCACTGGTTCTAACAACATTACAGATCAGCAACCTTAATATAAGTATAAAGACAGAAATACCCCTTATGCTAACAAGTATAAATATAATGAGAGGTAGGCGGCTAGGGTTAATTTGATAATCCTGGTTGACTTCCTACTCTTTTCTTCTTCTCCTTTCTTCTCTATTGCTGAAATCTTCATCTTCCCCCTCTTTCCTTTCACAAGAAACTCGACTAAATCTGCAATTAGTGATTTCTACTGAAACAAATGTTCTCTTATGATTGTTGACTATATTGTTAACTGATTCTATGTTCATTTTTAAATCCATATAGGCTTTCTGCTTCCATGCTGACAAAGAGTTACTAAGAGAGCCTCGGATGGTACGGGTTGGCCTGATTCAGAATTCAATTGCTCTTCCAACAACTGCACCTTTCTTGGACCAAAAGAGAGCAATCTTGCAGAAAATAAAACCCATTATTGATGCCGCAGGTGCTTCAAGTGTCAACATTTTATGCTTGCAAGTATGTAATTGGACAAGAGATGAACTACATGCATTGATGGGTTTATGTTCAAATCAAAATCTCAAACTTCTAGCATTTTTGTTATTTGAAACCAGGAGGCATGGATAATGCCATTTGTATTTTGTACTCGGGAGAAGAGATGGTGTGAATTTGCAGAGCCTGTTGATGGAGAGTCAACCCAATTCCTTCAAGACCTAGCACGGAAGTATAACATGGTCATAGTGAGCCCTATTCTTGAGAGGGATGTTAACCATGGAGAAACTCTCTGGAATACTGCTGTTATAATTGGAAATCATGGTAACATAATTGGCAAGCATCGAAAAGTAAGTAAAATAGTAGCATTCTTTCTTTCTGCTTTTGACCTCTTACATCTTGCTCTTAGTTTTATATGTAGAACTCATAATGACAATGATGACCATCAGAATCACATACCTAGAGTTGGGGATTTCAATGAAAGTACATACTATATGGAAGGAAACACTGGGCATCCTGTGTTTGAGACAGCTTATGGGAAGATTGCTGTAAACATCTGTTACGGAAGGCACCATCCTCTGAATTGGTTAGCATTTGGTTTGAATGGTGCCGAGATCGTGTTCAATCCTTCTGCTACTGTTGGAGAATTGAGCGAACCAATGTGGCCCATTGAGGTTTTTATTTTTCTCTCAACCTTTTTTAATCATGCATGGACACAAACTTGTACTTTTAATCTCTATCTTTGCTTGCTTGATGGAGAATCTTACCATTGAGTGTTGATTACATATGAAATTGCAACAAAAATATATCAATGAGATGATGGGTGGCCATACATGTGTTATATATGTAAGAGAGTTGCCCACCACTCAATGTTTATTTACTATTTCAAAAATCATTTCTATTTGCTCCAAACGCTCAGTTTGGAAGGAGTACAAAGACAAATGGAGTGTAAAACATTGTATTTTGTATTGTTTTCTATGTATTTGTACTCTTTCCAAACTGAGCTAAAGAAAAATCATTTCAATTGGATGAATGGTAACATTTAACATAGTCATATTATATGTTTAAGTGGTAATTCAAAGTCTGCTGTTGGTGTAGTTTGACATTTTAGATATGGTATTTCAGGCTCGCAATGCTGCAATAGCAAACAGTTACTTTGTGGGTTCCATCAACCGTGTTGGGACCGAGATTTTCCCTAATCCATTCACTTCAGGGGATGGAAAGCCTCAGCATGCAGATTTTGGGCACTTCTATGGATCAAGTTATTTTTCGGCACCAGATGCTTCCTGCACACCTTCTCTCTCCCGTTATAAGGATGGGTTGATGATAGCAGACATGGACCTCAACCTCTGTCGGCAGCTGAAAGACAAGTGGGGATTCCGGATGACTGCACGGTATGAATTATATGCAGATATGCTTGCTCGCTATGTCAAGCCAGATTTTGAGCCCCAACTGATAACCGATCCCCTGTTAAAGAAGAGACCTTAAACATGCAGATAGCAGTCAAGGATGAAGAATGAAACAAGTGAAGAAGTTGGTATTTTTCTGAACTATAAATTTAACCATCGATTGGAAATAAATTCTTGTCAGTTGTTTATGGTGTGAAACTATCTAAGTTAAGAATTCTTAGCTTCAGCTTGCATTGCAGTCTTTTCTACCACAAAGATGCAGACATTGCTGAATTTGGAACCCCTATATCCATCACATGGAAAACATATAGGCATTTGCTTCTCATAATTATGGCTGGACTGGACCAACAGTTGCATTTTTTTTTTTTTTTTGAAAATGCCAATAGTTGCAATTGGGTGAACTTCTGCGGTACAGTTTTGCCGATTGGCCAAGGGTTTCAAAATCAAACAGGAGGTCCTGGAATTCCAGTAATTCTTGGTTTCCATGATTCAGCTACTGATTTAACCAGACGGAATACACTACTGTTACACCATCCAAAAACTGCCGACCTAGCGAAGCCAAAAAATAAATGCCAACCTAGAGAGAGACCTAGCTGTCCCACGCTTTGCTAGGTCAAAGTGTCTGGTGGTCCAGTCTGATTTTAAAATATCCACCTTTAACCGCCTCTGCTGGAAAGGAAAGGTGGTGAGATGGGTGAGGAGGGTATTTTCTAACCAGCTTCAAGCCATGTAGACAATAATCAAGTTTTTCACCAGTTTCCCGTCATCAAAATTTTCAATTTCTAATTACATTACCTAGATCGGATTATCGGAACACTGGGGGCGATAAAACAATTTTAGGAATATTAGTCACTTGAAAAATTATTGAGATCAAGAAATAGAATTCAAACTTCAATCATGACCGAGTAGAGCCTTCTACAGTTCATATTCAAGATCTAGATTCTAGAACACCGCAAACCCAATGCTGCTCGGTGGAGTAATCTTTTTATTCAGTAGTGTTTTAATTACGTCAAAAACAGCCCCCCCCCCCTGTTGTAACTCGTCATCAACATTATTGTTGAATTTGCAATTCTAGATCTAAAAAGCGATTACAATGCTAGCAAATCACAGATATTGGAAGAACAAAATGCGGCAGCTATTGCAATTTCCTCAAAGCTGTTGAAATTGTTTCATGTTTCTACCAGATAACTGTAGAATAAACTGCAGCAGCCTCCACCCCCCCCCCCCCAAAAAAAAAAAAAACCCTTTCTTCCTTCCCCCACTCCTCTCAATCTATTTAAAATAAAAACTAAATATCTCCACCATATACACCAATATAAGCAGCAGCTTTTCATGCACTTACGGTATGGTGAAACTACAACAAGAACCAGCTTCCTTGGAGAATACTCATTTGTCTCTATTGATGCCAAGTTTAGTAACCCAGTAGAAAAGCTGTTCAGCTACACATTCTGAACCTGTAGATCCATACGAGGAGAATTTCTTAACTGCATTTTCAACTCCAAGAAATTCATAAACATCCTCTTCAAATATTGGATTTATGCTTCTCAGCTCATCGAGACTAAGGTCCAAAAGCTGGCAGTTTTTCAAGACACACAATGCAACACATCTTCCAACTATATCATGTGAAGTCCTAAATGGTACTCCCTGTACAGTGGTAAAGTCAGATAAGACGGAGAAATCAGTTGCCATTCGTTGTCCAATCCAATATGAAACGAGAATGAATCAAGACAGAAAAGGAACACTGAAAGCTTCAGAAAACTGGCACCAAGTTCCAGACATGTTACATGATTGGTCTAAATTCTAAAATAAGTGCTCCTTAGTGAAAATTCATTACAAAATGGGCAATGGGGAAACTGAAATTGTTACTGCTTTACAGTTTACAAGGAACCATAAGAAAGCTCCAGAGGTTATTGTTCCACTATGTTTTGGAAGTTCTCCAAGTAGGAGACCATGAAGATGGGTCGTTTGTAAGGATTCCCCTGTATTACTGTCACCATGCATTCCTAGCCATCAGACCTTTTCCCACTACATGCTGACAGACCCAGGTTACCTAATGTAAATGCATGCATGACTGCATGTACTTGTTGATCAAGGCACCACAAAGGTGTATGTTCTTTGTATTTGACCAAGTCAAAAGATGATTATATTTGGAACGCCTAAGCATCCAACACCTTTGTATTTGACCACAAAGTGGTTAGAAACATTCGACTGATTTGACTACTAGACTCCCTTTACTACAACAGGTAATCCATCACTGGAACAGTGGATTACTGCTTCTGTCTGTACATGTCAGTTTCAAGTCTTTATACACAGTAAGTAATTCGGACAAGTACGGATACACACGATGCAGAATTCTGAATTCCAGCGCCCCCCCCCCTACTACTAGCCCTCTCCCCCCTATAAACCACATCCTGCCCGTGAATTTGGCATCAATTCACAGTCAGGATGCATTCCCCCTGTACTTTGGGGCTATAAAATTCTGCTCTGGGCTGATTGGTCATTCTCCCCAAGTAATTCCCCTTTTTCATTAGTTGCGAAGATTGAGACATCACATGCAAAAAAGTAGGAAAGGTCAGATGGGTGAAAACTTGCCTTCTTCACCAGATAATCTGCAAGAGTTGTGGCATCCAGATGACCAGCTGGTAAAGACTTTTGTATCCTCTCTCTGTTAAATGTAATATTCTGTGCAAATTCTGCTGTTACTTCAAGCATTCCAATGATGGTTTTTACACTGTCGAATAGAGGTTCCTTGTCTTCCTGTTCCAAGAAAGATAGGCATGCTATCAAAACACTGGAAAATGTCATATTTTAAGATCTTGATGAAAAGTGATATCAAACCAATTAAATCATCCAAGGCACCCGTAACCTATATTACACAGATTCTTAACCAACTGCAGCCAGATCCAAGTGCAACAGAAGGTTGCATCAGCTTGGCAGCCAGATTAAAACCTTTTTCTTTAAACCTGTTTAAACATGAATTGCAACTTTTTTTGAGCTCAAAATCAGATGGCATACCCCTTAGACAAGTCAAATGGCTTTGTATAGCTTATCTATATATAGAGGAACTTGGGAAATGGTTTAGTTAATTACTTGTAGTCTTGTATAACATAAATTAACAATTACCTTTTTCAAGAGGTCAAGTATAATCGTCTACTGCAAATTATTACTCAAATTTGATTCTACTCCTAATCCAGTATAGTGTTGTTATTAGGGTTGTCACAGTGCCCCAGCAATCACCAATGCACTCATTGGCCTCTCCCCCCGAACTGAAAAGGCCATTTCTGTAATACGCTCAGCTTTGATACCCATATAAGTGCCACAGCCACAGCTAACAGGCAAGCCCAGCTAAGGGATCATTGACTAGGTGCAATGAGAGGCTGGACAGCGCAATGAAGAAACTAAATCTGGTGTCATGTGGTCTCCCAGGTTTCAAAGGAATTCAAATAATTGGGAACTTCATATAATAGAGGAACTCTTCTTTTTGCTCTACAAGCAACACCCTTTATTTCTAGTCAAGCAGAAGAGTGAAGATATGGAATTATGTGTGCTTTTCCTAGAGATAAGAGTGAGTTCCAGCAATTTCATCTAGGATATCCTTCATGTTATGGACAGCACCATGGAGAAGATGACTTGAACAAGAGAGGTATGGGACTCACAAATTCAGATTGTGTTATGTGTGCACAAGTGGAGGAAAGCAACAACCATCTCTTCTTGCAGTGTCCAGTGGCCTGTGAGTTATGGCATTTCTTTTTTTTTATCAATAACACAATTCATTAATTATCACAATAAATTACAGAGAGGAAGACAAACTTCCTTATCTTCCAGCTACATCAAGAACCCCAAGAGAGGTAGACTATTATGGGCTTCCATGCCAGTATCCATTGTTTGGGTAATTTGGAAGTTGGAACAAGCAAAATGAATGATTATTCAACAAATCAGGCTCAGTGGATGCCCTAAGGAACACAACAATTGGAATTCTTGGGACGTGAATGACAGTTGAACCACAATTCAGGGGCATCTCTTTTTCTTCTCCTGTTGATTTCAATACTATATTTGAGCATGGAAGATATTTTGTGATACTTAATATCATTACAATCATTGTGCTGTACAGCTTCTTATTGTACCTAGTCATGTTTATCAGAAATTCAAATTATACTTTACCTTTAAAAAAACAAAAACCTAAATTTTTATTTGTTTCATCTCAGATTGCAACCTGAAATGAATAAAACCTGGGTTGTCTTTGTACCATGGTACTTGTAGCCCAACTCATCAACTAATAATTTATGAAATTGCACACCTGTAGATCACGATTGTAAGCGTGAGGGAGCCCCTTGCAAAGCACGAGAACACTAACAAGATCACCCACAATTCTAGCAGATTTTCCACGTACAAGTTCCATTGGATCTGGATTTTTCTTCTGAGGCATGATGCTGCTTCCCGTTGAAACAGAGTCACTTGGGGTCAGGAATCCAAATTCCTCTGATGCCCATAAAACCCATTCTTCACCAATCCGGGAAAGATGAATGGCTGTTATGGAATTTGCAGAAAGGAACTCTAAGACAAAATCACGGTCTGAAACAGCATCGATGCTATTTGAAATCAAGGAGACATTGCCAATCATTAGAATGGACCATATTACATTTACCAAAAAACAAAAAAAAAAAACATATTATGGGTACACTGCAGGAATAAATATCAAAAATTGCATCTCCATATAGCTGAAGCAAAGCACAACACCAGGAAATATAGCATGGGTACTTTTGAGATAACAGGAATTTCTAACTTAATAAGAGTACAGTAAATATGATTAGACCCCGTTGATGTTGATCACCTCTCAATCAGAGGTACTCTAGATCAAAAATCAACCCAAAGAACTGAAAGGAACTACTTGTCACATTTTATTATCATGTTGCTTAGGTGATAGTATTTTTTTTATATGTGGTAAGGCCTTAGTTCAAGAGTTACAATTTATTAAGTGCACTCAAAGTACTTTCAGGTTTCAGCAGTTGAGCTACAGAAATCCTGTCCCAGATCAGCTTTCTAGTTGATTATATTTTATTTTTTGTATGGAAATGATAAATATAAAAATATCTATAAAAAACAGACAAATATAAAGATAATTAAATAAAAACTGCCAGTAGCTCAAGAAAGGATGAACATTTTGGAATTTTTCTCCATGCAACATAGAATAGTTGTTTGGGATCACATTTTTCAAATAACCCTTTTGAATGGAGATATCACAGAAGAGTTATTCTTGTCCCAAAAGCTTGAAGATGTACTTCTCAGGCCAGATCAAAAGGATGAGATATCATGGAAGGAAGAACCTAAAAGAAAGATTACACCATGAAGCATGAACCTAAAATAATGTTTACCATTCATTCATTTTATATGGCTCTAGCCAGAACCATGACTTAACCAGTCAAGTCGGGATACAATGAGGCATCATTATGGCTGGTTTTCTTATGAACTATTTCATAATGGCTGAATTGGTTCAACTGAATTGCTAATAGGTTGACTTTTTAGTGAATAAGCAATTAAGTAAGACAACCCAAAACATTTCACTATATCATCCACTAAAAGACAACCCAATAAGCAATTAAGCTCAGCCAAATCAGCAGTTACCAAATAGCCCCTTAGAGAAGGTGCCCACTATAGATCACCTCAATAACAAAAGTACACAGATTCACTCCATCTTAGATCCACCATGTCTGAAGTAGCAGAGGAATAAGCATCTCTTTCTTGCCCAACAACTAATTTCCTTTGGAGCTTTTCTGTTAGCTTCAGATTTCTTGGGTATGTTCATCCTTAATTTGGAAAGTAATTACTTCTTGCCCTTTGATTTCTATCAGGAATAGAGGTGCTACTTTATGAGCCATGGACCCTTTTGCAAATTGTTGGGCCATTTGAAAAGAACATAATTTGATAATCATTCATCATATGGAAAGGCCATCAGTGTGCCCTCATGCTTATTTAATATCTGTTATGGATTGTGCTCTTGCTCTTCATAATTTTGAAGGATAACAACATAGATATTGCCTATAACCAGTCTTTTGCTCTAGGTGTAGAGTGCAGCATATTGTAAATAGACCTGTTCATGGGTCGGGTAGCCCGGCCCAGCCCGATCTATGTCGGGCTTGGACAGGATTTCAGGCCCGCGGGCTCGGGCTCGGGCCTAAAACATCAGGCCCGAAATCCCGAGCCCGACTTGATAATGTATTATATAGTAAAAATATATATAATATATTTTTTCTTTATTATTCTTCTCTTTTTTCAAGTAATAGTGATATCTTTCATTATTTTTTAGGTTTTGAGGTCTTTTAATATAAATAAAATAAATTTTAATTGAATAAAAAAAGAAGAATGTTTTTTCCAAATTTCTAGCCGGGCTCGGGTTCAAGACCTAGGCTCGATGGTCGGGCCAGGCTCAGGCTCAAGCCTGAGCATATTCTGTTAATGTAAAGGCAAAACCCGGCCCGGCCCATGAACAGGTCTAATTGTAAAGCACTTTGACATTTTCATAAATATTCACTAGCAATGTTTTCAATTGCTCGTCAAAAGAGGCCATCATTGATATGAATTCTTGAAAACTTTGCAGCTCAGAGTCTCATACATGTTGAATTGCGGGACTTCACCCACAAGCAAGTATTTCTCAACTCTGATAATGAGAAACAAATAGGTGGGTACTTCAGCTACATTGCTTACTCCCACCAGCCGCATAACCAAAGGATCCCTCTCAGATACCACTTGAGTTACTTCCAATATAGCATCTCAGAAATCAGAATTTCAGACCCATTAAAGAAAACTGGAAGGGTTTAATGATATTGAATCCCTGTGGGTAGGACATTGATCTCCTATTATTGCTTAGTGGGAAGACCAATAAGAAAATAATCCTTGGTGGATAATCTGAGATCACACCTGCAAACTTGTTTTTACCGGAGGCAATGCTGCAGTTGTGCACAGAGTTTGAAACATAATGAACCAGGTAAGACAATGTAACAATTATACAACAAATAAAGGGGTAATAAAACAAAATGCTTCTTGGAGTTTTGGAATAAAGACCTGAATCAACTGCAGACTGCAGAATAACTAAAAAAACTTTCTACTAAAATTAAGTTGTTAATTTAATGTGAATAATGACTAAAAACATGCTCATTATTTTACATAACTGGCACATCATCTACTTTTACTACTTTGAAAGCCATATATCATAAACTAAGAACTTTCCACCAAGAGCTTGCTCGCTAATTTTAGTCCTTGGATTATTGTTAATGTGCTCATGAACTATGATTGCCAAAAATAATCTATGAATCATATTTCTGAAGTCATATATTGTATAAACTAAGAACCTTCACTTCATAAACTAGTCTCATTATGGAAGTCTCAAGTATGTAAGCATGCCTTTTTCAAGTTTCTACTTTCTAATAAAATTGAAATTATAGGTGATAGATTAAATAGGAATACAAACTATTATACACCTGTTCCTTAGAGGTGCAGTAAATCCCAAGGCTTCAGAAGTCATAAACCTATCAATAGGAAGGCCAGTGCCTGCCAATGCACAAGCTCCTAAAGGACAGAAATTAAGCCGATTCTTGCAATCTACTAGACGATCAGCATCCCGTTCAAGCTACAAAAAATTATTATTATTAATATAAACAGAAATAAATGCTTTGGTTATTAAATAAACAAATGGACAGCAGAGGTTAAGAGGAGATGATCAATTTACTGGTGCTGATGAAATTTATCAAATGAAGGTATATACATATATATATTAAAGGAAGGTTTTCAAGTTATAGCCCCCCACCATTCAGACATGTGGCATTTTTTGAGAAATTGTTGTTAAAGCCCACAACCCACTATCACCATTCAGACAAGTGGCTTTATCATTTTCTGGAAAGCTGGACACATGGCAATTTCTGAGAAATTCCTGCTAAAGCCCATAGGCCACTACCAGGCACAGCCCCCCACCATTTAGACATGTGGCCTTCTCATTTTTCTGGAAAGCTAGACACGTGGCATTTTTTGAGAAGTTGTTGCTAAAGTCCAAAGCCCACTACCACCATTCAGACACGTGACATCCTATTAATTCAAGAAATAGGATTCAAAAAGTGAGTAGTTTCACTCCTAAACATTCTCAATAGACAATTATTTATTAGCTTAACACATGTTTATCCAAAGTCTATTAAATACAAATGGTGGGATCCATTAAAAGATTACCATAAACCCACGTTTGTTTTTAAATGTTTTTTTTTTCAAAAAGAAAATACTTTATTAATTACAAACTTGATTTAACTTTTAGGAAGCAACATAATTTAACTTTTAAAAATAAACAACTCAAAATAGATTTATTAGATAAATAGTAAATACCAAATAAAGTGGGTTATTGTTTACGAATAAGATCTCATTTAATATCTTAAATCAAATTAAAAAATAGATAAATTAATAATGTTTTCAAATAAAATAGGTCAGAATAGATTGTCAATTACAAAGATGCAAGACCTATATTAGTTTTTTATTTGTGATAACTAAATAGTAAACTTCAAACTAAATTATACACACATTTAGTTACCCCGTACTTAGTACGGGGGTCATTCTCTAGTAATTCTATATAGGAGAGCCCATACTTCCAATAACATCTGAAAAAACACTTTTATCTTCATTTCTTCATTAATAAGAACTTTTACATTACGATACAGAACATCTATGAAAAAGAGCAGAGATCAACGACACTAAAAAAAGGAAATCAAGACTAGCAGATAGATAGGCAACAAAAAGCAAAAGGGAGGAAACTGGAAAGGCCTTGAATTGTCTCCCCTGCACAAAAGAAATCCCAGGCAACAATAACAAGTAAACATGATTTCTTCATTCTGCCAATCCCTAAGATCTGATAAGTTTGTCACTGAATTCTCATTCACATGGTAGACAGTTGTACTTTTGGGGTTTATCTATTCCAGTGTAATTTTTTATTAGTTGCATTCATGGTTTCCTTTCTTTCTTTTGGGATTCTGCCCTTGGATTAATAGTTTTTTTTTTTTTGGTGATAGGGGCCCTGCCACCTTGTAGCATCCTTTATAATCCTCTCTTATTTATTTATTTATTATTATAGATAGCTATCATGATTGCAATATAGAGTCAATAAAGCCCATAGTCTGAAAAACTAATTGGCCTTTAAAAGCACATCAAAAACTACATAACAGTAACCACATTAACAACACCTAGGTGCAAAAGTTAATAAAACCCATTTCACCAACAAGATAAAACAGAAACACCAGAGGGAACACCTCATTCTGCTGGATCAGGAGATCATCTGATGAGCTAGGCAATTCCTTAACTAGAAGCAAAGACAGTCAAAGGGTTTATTCTATTTTCTCCTTGTTTTTTTCCCTTGTTGCTTTTATTCTCTTCTCTTTTTCTAATTAATAGTGAATTTCGTTGCCAAACCATGAAAGGGAAAAAGAAAGAACAGATGCACCAATTATCTAGCTGATTCTTCAGATGGATAAGGTAGCTTATTGAAATGATACGTAAAGGAATCCACTCCTCAAATATGGAGTATTGTTATTATGTTATAGGTATCAGTATTGTCAAAAGGAATGTGTACTTTTTTTTGTGAGTACTGAGTAGAGCCCCTGCCCACAGGGGGTAATTTTTAGAGTAACCAGTGAAAACAAATACCAGACACAAGCCGCAATCCCTTCTTGGCACAGATCCATTCACCTGGAAAAAAAAATACAACAATGTAGATAAAAAAACTACAATAATGTATATCGATTGAAACCTGCTCAACATATGACAAGAGAAGATGCTGCAATAGGACAGGTTGAGCCCTTTGTAGATGTGTATATCCAGGAACAATCAGGCCTTCATTTTTTATAGCCAAAGTCACTAGTGCAACCTGCAGGTAATGCAAGGATGTGTTAGTGGATGAGAGGAAAAACAGAAATTATTTAATGAGAAAGAGAATGAAATGTAAAACAAATTGCTGAGACAATTTGAAGGCAGCAGTATGACACTACCGAAAAGAGGAGAACAGTAGGTTCCATCAGCTAAAGATTACCAACAGAACCAGAACAATGAGATTAAAAAAATTGTAGAAACATGAGGAATAAATTTTTGAATGAGGGTACCAAAAATAATGGGATGATCTGATGCTAAATGGTTCACTTGTATTAACAAAGGCAAAACACTGTCCTGCACTACACTTAAGCCATGCATTGCAACTTAGAGACAACTGATATGGTGCCATCCACCCAAACATACGGAACCATCTAAATAATGAGAAAATAAGATTTTTTTTCTAAAATGATAGCAAAGGCGTAAGGAGAGGACATACAGGAATTGAAGGTTGGGCAAAATGGGGAGCAAATCTGTATACATTGGAAAGGAGAGCCCCGTTACTTTATCTCTCATCTTTTATATTTGAAATAAAGGTCCTTTTTGTGGATCACTGTAAAAGTTATTAGATAAAAAAATCAATATAAACAATGAAGCCAGGCATATCCGGTCTAGGAAACAGGTTTTCCAACCCCCTGTCAAATTACATTCACTCAGTCAATGCTGCCACATTACTGATTCCCAACATGCCCCAGAAATAAAGGTCTTTTTTCTCCGATAAAAAAAAAAAAAGAAAGAAAAACTCTACACTGACCAAGCTACCCAGATAATTCCGTATGAGATTGTAATTTTGCAAGATAACTACGTGCAAATTTGAATGTAAAGGAAACCCTTGGTGGTAAAAACAAACTGGTTTTCAGTCACGACTAAAAGCCTATGGAAAATGGAAAAGCAATAATAATAGTCATAAACACCAGAAAAAAGTACGTAGTAATAGTAGAGGTAGTAGTACATAAACATGAAACTGCTACTAGTAGTAAATAAACCTGAAGCTGCTTAATGTGAACAAGGATCTTGTCTATGGCATCACGGCACCAAAGGCGAAAATCCGTTAAAACTTGATCATTTCGACTTCTAGCAGTGTGAAGCTTCTTTGCGGGTTCGCCAATCAAGTCGGTAAGAGCTGCTTCGATATTCATGTGAACATCCTCTCTATCCGCTCTCCATACGAACTCCCCAGATTCGATGCTCCTCTCTATCTGATCAAGACCTTTCAGTATGCTATCTCTATCACTCTCGGTCATTAAACCCTAAACAAACCCAGTAAATCAGCAGAATTTTGGATTATGATCTTCTCAGAAGCCTCACAGACTAAAATCTGGCATTTACTAATTGCATTGAGAAGGATAAAGAGTTAAAAAAAAAGGAACCTGGCGAGCAAGCATTGTAGCATGAGCCCTACTTCCCATGATATCTTGCTTGTAGAGAAGCTTGTCGTATGAAATGGATTCTGTGAACCTCTCCACAGCATCTGTAACGCTTTCCTCGAACCGCCCGCCCCATAGCTTCACCTCTTTGGTCATTTCCCCCGGAAAATCTTTTTGGGTGATGCTCAGGGTTTCAGAAGCGCAGGAAACCACAAACCTCCGCTGGCCTTTCCAGCAGAAATCGACACGAGATAGAGGTCTTGAGAGGTTTTGCTTCGGAAATGGCAAGGATGGAAAGAGGAGATCCGCCGATTTACCCAAGCAGCGTTCACATATTGATTCCATTGCTCTCAGAAGTTTTGCACACACGCAGAATACACACACTGTTCCACAACTTTACTAGTTTAGTAAGAGAAAGGGCGTAAGGGGGACGGCGGAACGAAGCTAATGCTGATGCTAGCGCCACGGCCATGGTCGTCATGGATCCTCTTACGTCACAAAATGACAATGGGTTGGAGTATGATACCGCAAATACATGATATCCGAAAATTTTGTGACCCCGAATTCACATATCTGCGACCGTGACTGCAGCTCTCTCTTTTAACCCCAATGAAACTCGATCACGTCATCCATAGAAATAAAATAAATTTGTCTAAAACTCATCATATGAGCTTTTAACACTTTTCTTAAATTCATCACAACTTTTTAAAATGTCTAAAATTCATTATGTCAGTAAGTTTTTATTTTTCAAAACTCACCTTGGTTAGTGCACTGTTAATGCTTCTTAACAGAGGTGTTTGTATCAACATAAATAATAATTTTCATGATCAAATTACCCTTGAATAGTGAGTTAGAGAAAAAATGGTCTTTTTTTAGTTTTCAATTTTCTTGTTTTTTTTGCATTTTAGTGTTTTTTTATAATTTCCAATGTTTTTTATTATTTCTGTTTTTTCACATTTTTCTATTTTCTACAATCCATACATTCTCTTGTACTTTTGTTATTTATTTACAATTTTTGTGTTTTTCTATAATTTTTTGATGTTTTTTCTACAATTTAATTTTTTTATTCTGTTTTTCAATTTATAGTTTTTATAATTTGAAAATAATTTTTTATTTTATTTGCAATTTCTATAATTTTTTATATTTTTTGTAATTTCTATGTTTTTATGTATTTTATATTTGAAATTATTTTTTTGTAATTTTTCCTTTTTTCATGTCTAAATATTAAAATGGTAATATATTAACACCCATTAATTTATTTTGTATATATTTTATATTTTTTTATGAAGGTTAAAATAGTAACATATTAACACCCGTTAATTTGTTTATTAGTGGCATGGTGAGTTTTAGACATATTAAAAAGTTATGATGAATTTAAGAGAAATACTGAAAATTTATGGTGAATTTTAGACAATTTCCCATAAATAAATAGTTTTTTCTTGATAATCCACAGCACATCCCGACCTTGTATTAGAATGTACTATGGGGCACTGATGTAAACTGCATAATTACAAAGACACCATAAACAAAGGAACCAGATTTCCTACTCACTTTTGCTAGCCACTCTCTACCCGTCGTGAATTGCAGAGACGTGTAGGTGCAATTCACAACGGGTAGAGAGTGGCTAAGAAAAGTGGATAAAAAATCTTATTTAATTTTTTAAAAATTTTAAATCTCCAAATTTTGACCGCACCAAATCGATGATCATGGATTACAATGATCATAGCAACGATTAATTGTTATAAATGACCAATAATTGCTAGAAATCCATAAGGACTCGAAATTGGCACTACATTCTTTTATTGGGCTTCTAAGAGGCCTTAGAAACATAGTTTGGATTGTTTCGTTGCCTGCACACGCGCAATGGATTTCTCTCTTATTAAATATGATTTTGAGCTTAGAGGGCAAGACCAACCAACATATGAAAAATGAAGTATAAGCACCATAACAATATTTGAAAAAGGTAAACACTTGTAGGGAAAAAAAAAACAAGGAGAGAGATTCAGGCTTTCCATTGAGCACTTGGCATACAAAGTCACATAGAAGAAACTTAGGCAAGATGCTAGTCAAAACTTTGCTGAAAAATGCTAGTTGATTGCAGGTTGTGAATTGAAAAACTTTAGTTGTTGGGGACCAACAACATATGCTGTTGAGAGAATTTCTGGAAATGCTATGTGATTGTGTGCAATCTGGACGCTCCTAGTTGGAGTGCAATTCGGATGTCGGTGCTTAATTGGCTGATCGAACTGTAAGAGAAAGGATTAGAGAACCTGGGTGGCTAACCCGACGAGGTCACTCCGATGCTTAAGTTAATACTTGCTTAGTAGATTATGAGCTGGAAACTAGTAATCTAGAGAGCCAGTAAGCACAAATCGTGCGTACCTTGTGTCACTGAGGTAGATACCCTTATATAGGCGTTGTTTGGTGTGGTCTTCACGCATCGTGTTTGAGGTCTCCGGGAAGACGTGCCTAATCGGCCCGATGTCCTCCGAGGTAGCCATGTACATAGACCAGTCTTCGCGCCTTGTTCGGTTTCCTCCAAAGCATTCGGTACAAGGGGGCCAACTTTCGAGAAACCCGGGAGTGTCGGGATATGCATGCCGAATTGGTCAGTGAGCACATCTCACAGGTCAGCACATGGACCTCAATCAAGTCGGTAAGCCCTCAAGGGAGGCCGCTCCTCATCGATGTCACTTCGACTGTACTAACGAGATGCTACAGGTCAGCCCCTGGACGAGGTGCTACAAGCCGCTCAAAGTTGTGGACGAGGTCGTCAACTAGGTTTTCGCCAGGTTGGCGATGGTAGAAGGTCGCCAAGTCAGACTCCATCTCTTTGACTAAAGCAAGTTATCGCCTAGGTGGTGTTGAGGTGTCATCCAGCTGTTCTGAGATGCCATGTGTCATGATGTCACTGGAGGGCCAAATCCGCCCTCATCACCATGTTACCATGAGAATGGGTAAATTAATAATTACATCTTAATTTATTTTGACTAAAAACCAAAGCATGGGTGTGAATAGGTGAATTACCCAAAATGTGCCTAGCCCAGAAATTGCCTCAACAGGCTATGTTGTTAGGCCCCAACAGCCAAAGTTAACCCGACTATGATCTGGTATCAGGAAAAGCTAAAGAGATAAACTAGGGGGTGCAACTTTTGCGGGTTGGGATTGGAGTATATTCAAAATTTCAATGGGCTCAACCTATTTTGAATAGTGTAAATTGTTAATTCGGGCCATCAACCTATTTTTTGGGGGGGTATTTAATAATAATTTCCTCTGAACCCTTTTTCCTTAATGTTGTGTTTGGTTTGAAGGAAAAAGCAAGGAAAGGAAGGGAAAAGTAAGGAAACCTATACATAGACTGTAAAGGTTTCCTATCTTTCTCTTCTTTTCCCTACCTGTTCCTTCAAACCAAACATAACCTAAAGTGCTGGTTGTGGGATTTGATTCCGCTGGAACAAACCAGCTAATATGCCAAGGAACCAGCCCTCGACTGGTTGCCACCAACCCAACTTGCAGCCCTAAGATAAACATGCTAGAAAACAATTCACTTATAGGCTATAAGAGTATAAAAGCTTCAGGCTATACCAAATGATTACAAGCTGAAACGCGGATGAATTTCAGGCTGAACGCTGGTGAATTTCTCCCTCTGTAAATTCTAGCTTCAGGCTGGATCACCACACTTTAATAATTGATTTGGAACTAAATCAATAGTTCGATTCTTGATGGTTCTGTCTCTTTCTGTCTTTTTGTTGCTATCTCTAATACTAGCATATACGGTTGGAATTCTACTTGTTGCTTAACTTCACATATAGAGCACAAACGATCATACAAAATAATGGCAACACTTGAAAATTTTAATCAAAGGTTGGCTCCATGAAAGTTTATCCAAAAATTCAATGCTTCAGGCTTCATAGCTTATAATAGTTTCAAATTGATTAAAGAAAAGATAAATCTCTTAAACTATTCTTATTGTGATTTAACTAATTGACTAAATATATCCATATTGTTTAATTGTTTTTTAATGCTATCTTAGTGTTTTTAACAATTGACTAGTTCTAATATTTACTGTACAAACGTGACACCACCTGACATTATTTTTTTTAAAACTCAATTTTACCTTTCATCACTATCCCTTCACCTCGTCTCTCTCTCTCCTTCTTTCCTTTCTTGCTGCTTTGCTGCAAGAAGCTCAAAGTCACGAGTTCAAACAGGGTTTGGGAAACGATGGGAAGAGGGCGTCACCAGCGAGGACAGCCATTTCCGGCGATCCAACACAACAGTTGCAACAATGATCCCAACACAACCTCCTCTTATGTGCACAAGAAAATGAATCTCATATTCTCATAAAGCGCCAAGCGTCTCATGTTCGTCTTCTCCACTCAAACGCCGAGGCTGTTGACTTATCTCTCTCTCCTTATCGTGTGTCCCTTAGGCGGTGAGCTAGGGAAACCCCTCTACCTTTCCATCACACCGGCAGCATGCCAAATGAAATTCATTTTACGTATACGACATATCTGAGTTTTGAAGTTTTGACCCCTTTCGGGTTCTATTAATTTCTTTTTCATTCTTTCATCTCTTGTCGGTTTCACATACAAGATTTCATTTTCTCGGTTGCTTTCCCACATTATGGTTGGAGAGTTCAAACAAAAAATAGCAATGAAAATAAATAAATAAAAAAATTCTATGGGTATTTTGGTAATTTAACACATTTCATCATATGATTAACAATTAGGGGTATTTGTCGTAAGTTAGAAGTTAAAGGGCTTTGAAAATTAAAGTGCATGTAGGCCTTTGTCACTGACCCCACAGTATGAGGGGGGGGGGGTGTAATTTATCCTCTTTTTTGTAAAAAGATTTAAAATGAAAAAACAAACAAACAACACAGAAAAAGACCAACAGCAAAACAAAACCCTAAACAAACTATTGCATTGGTAATTGGTTGAAGCTCAACATAACCCCAGCTTCAACACCAACAATAAAATAGGGGAACAAGTCATTCCAGGGGGGCTCAACCAAGCTGCACTCTCTCTGGATTTTCCTTTTGCATCAAGCTCATGGGCTGCACCATTAGAAACATGGCTAACAAACCTCGATTTGAAATCAAGATCAACCAGGCTATATACATCTTGTAATAAAAGGTCAGACCCCAGTCGAGCAGATAAGCGATTTCTGATTCAAAGTAGAAACTAAATTTAGAGAATCACAATCTATATATTAAAAGGTTTTTAACTCCTATGCTTAAAGCAGTCACATAACAGCGTAAAAATAGCTCAACCCTCAGTGAGTTTGGATCTGCCGACTATAATACGTTGCTGGTCACGTGCATCTTGCCATACATCAAAAATATTGATTGTACTTTAAAACACTGATATTCTCAATGTATAGAT